GTATGTCTCAAACCGCATCATCAATTTAGGTAGCGAGTTGGCCGGGTCTGTTAGGAAAAATAGCAGATACGGTAACGAAACCTCAGGGTATCCGGTGGTGCGGGCGAGAGGGCGTAGCCCAGGGGTCTGGGGGGAGGGGAGAAGGGGGGGAACAAGATTAACTAACAAAAAGCTAGGGAATCCCCTCTACTCTGTTCTAACCACCCGGACTGAGCCCAGTTCACCGGTGGGGAGATCAAGAGTGCAAGGGGTTGAAGTAGGGGGCGACGATATTGTGGGCAGCACCTAGTGCCCCTCACTGTCGCCTCACTCTGGGGGTAAGTGATTGGCTTTCTGGACGAGATGGGTCAAGATTGGTTCAAATAACTCCATTTGGTCGCCTCTCCAATACCCGAGAAACCCTTAGGGACATTCCTAAATCCTGCCACATTACAGAGCATATTTTCATAGGGTGGGTGAAAGGTTCACTCTCCAAGATGCTCTCCTTATGCCCTCGTAATACTTTGGTATAGGAGTAGGTTAGCAGTGGGGTGACATCAGTGATATGTGTGCCCTAAGTACCTAGACCTTCCCCGAAAGCAGCAATCAATAGAAACGTTATAACCGATATAAACAATATAAACCATATGAACACTATGAAACCGCATATAAACAGTGTAAACTCCCTTGGTGTTCATATCCACCTGTAAGGGTCCATAGAACTGCGCTCACGTGAACTGGAGTATGGAACCTAGAGGTCTAAACGCCTGTATCAGCAGAGGTATTTGTGTGTTACCGTACTGGCCGGATCCCCCCTGTTAAATGCCACTGATGTCTTGGCTGTCTTCAGATCGCCTAGAATAAGTGTTCGTTTCTCAGGAACATTAAGTCCTCTGGCATTTAGGGACAACACTACTAGGTCTGCTAGAGACGCCATAGCGGTTTCCACTAAGGTCTGGTGACAGTGGTGGAGGGAGCGGGCTTGCTAGTAGTAATTCCTTTAAGTTAACCCTCACGGGGTGGGGGCAGCAGAGAAAGTGGTGGGGGTGGAAGCGTGGAGTCAGCTACGGTAACGAAACCTCAGGGTATCCGGTGGTGCGGGCGAGAGGGCGTAGCCCAGGGGTCTGGGGGGAGGGGAGAAGGGGGGGAACAAGATTAACTAACAAAAAGCTAGGGAATCCCCTCTACTCTGTTCTAACCACCCGGACTGAGCCCAGTTCACCGGTGGGGAGATCAAGAGTGCAAGGGGTTGAAGTAGGGGGCGACGATATTGTGGGCAGCACCTAGTGCCCCTCACTGTCGCCTCACTCTGGGGGTAAGTGATTGGCTTTCTGGACGAGATGGGTCAAGATTGGTTCAAATAACTCCATTTGGTCGCCTCTCCAATACCCGAGAAACCCTTAGGGACATTCCTAAATCCTGCCACATTACAGAGCATATTTTCATAGGGTGGGTGAAAGGTTCACTCTCCAAGATGCTCTCCTTATGCCCTCGTAATACTTTGGTATAGGAGTAGGTTAGCAGTGGGGTGACATCAGTGATATGTGTGCCCTAAGTACCTAGACCTTCCCCGAAAGCAGCAATCAATAGAAACGTTATAACCGATATAAACAATATAAACCATATGAACACTATGAAACCGCATATAAACAGTGTAAACTCCCTTGGTGTTCATATCCACCTGTAAGGGTCCATAGAACTGCGCTCACGTGAACTGGAGTATGGAACCTAGAGGTCTAAACGCCTGTATCAGCAGAGGTATTTGTGTGTTACCGTACTGGCCGGATCCCCCCTGGCTGGCAGGCCTCCAAACCACCGTCCCCCGTCTCCGCCGCTCCGAGGTGTCACCGCCCCGGAGGACGGTTCAGGCCCCCGCCTGCCAGTGAGGATCCTGTAACGACAAGACACGTAGAAATTATAAATGGAGGAATGAAAGCCGAGTGACTCCAACATTGTCAGTTATCTATCTAAGTGCACATCACGGGGCCCACTGGAGTGGTGCTCCAGCACCGCAACCGTCCGAGGCAAGGGTCCCAACATCCAACCAAGATAACAGGGTTAACTCCGGGAAAACAGTCTCGGGCCATTCGGTACCGTGCCTAGGGATGAGTGCGTCTGTGTGTGAATTCAGTGGGGGGATTGTTCGCCAGCCCGGTCACAATCCGCCACTTCGTCCAGCCGGCGATCGGTACGATAAGATGGGGTATTGGGGCCTCTCCGGCGGCGTTCCTTCTCGCTGGTCCCAGGGCTTCTGGTGGGGTCTGGATGGCATATCTCGTCTGCGGCTGGGCCTGTCGTTGGCAGCATGCATCCTGAGGTCTTCATACCAATCTTGGACTTGGACGGCCGGGATATTCAGTTGCGAGCAGAAGTCTCCCACTTCTTCAGGTAGGCGTAAGGTAACGGTTCTGCCTCTTTGCAGTGCGGACAGGCAGAATGGGAACTTCCAGCGGTATGCAATGCCATGTTTGCGCAAGTGGTCTAATAGCGGGCGTAAGGCTCTACGTTGTTGTAGGGTGATGTTGGATAGATCTTGGAACAGCTTCACCTCGGAGCCATCATACTTGACCACTGCTTTGGCCCGGGCCTGTTGTAAGATTTCTTCCTTTAGCGGGAAGTTCTGTAGGCAGCAAATGATGTCTCTCGGAACGTCCTCCTGCAAGTTGCGGGGCCGCAGCGCCCTATGCGCTCTCACAAAGTCTATGGGCGATCCAGGCCGGCGGTCTAATAAATCATTGAAGATGTCAGGTAGGACCGTTTCTGGGACCCCCCGGACTCGCATATTGGCGCGTTGTCCCCTATTATCGAGGTCTTCCATGTGGCGGCGCATATCGATCAGCGAGCGGGCGGTGGTCTCCTGATGGGCCCTCAGAGAGTGGATGGCAGCGTCTCTCTCCGCTCCGGCCTGTTCCGCCGCTTGCATCCTGCGGCCTATGTCCCTAATGTCCTGTCTGAGTTCGGAGACCGCCGAGCTCAGGGCCTGTTTGATGTCCCCTGCGAGTAGTGTTAAATCTGACCTGGTAGGTAGTTGTTGGATGTAGGACGACATCGAGCCCGGATCCATGGAGGCCTGAGGCACAGTAGCAGGCGGGTTAGTCGCGGTCAGCGCCATATTGGAATACCTCGCGGTCAGATTTTCCGGCCGCTGTGTGCGGAACATCTCGGGGAATTGACGGCTCAGTTGGGTCCCATCTGACCCAGGAGATCTAGACCTTCCGTCCTGTCTGCCTATTTTCCCCATGGTAGTCGATAGCAGGAGATTGTAGCTTCGTTCGGGATATCTGGAGACGGAGCTCTGGAGTTAAGCGTCCATCTTCTTCCGTGCCAAGCCACGCCCGCGCCCTAGTATCTTTTATATATGAAAAGAAAACATTTAATTTGTGCAGCATTAACTGCTTCACTTCTATATGTATTCTTATAGGTCAATAAGTCAGAAATAATTAACTCCAAGGGCAGTATTGTGTTTTTGAGTTGGTAATAGATACCTTTTAATTCTTACATTTAAGTATAACTTTCTTGTATGTACTCACCAAGATCACTATATATCTAATGCTTAGTCCAGTTTTCTGTGTGTGCCTGCGCAAAAATAAAATAAGCAGTACATCTCTTCAAAGCATGCACATTTTACCATTTGGTTTCCTTTAAAAACACTCTAGTACAGAAAAATACTTGTTAATCCTGTCCGTAATCCAGTGAGTTCCTAATTTCTTGTCATGAGCTGTACTGACATGTCGAACAGTGTTTTGAGCGCTGCTTGACTTCTCCCCTTTTGGACTACAGGCCACCCTCACCTACACTGAGAGTTTTGATGGGGCAAAAAAAGAAAATCTGACCACAGAAATGAAGACATATATTTTTATTTGATAGTTTGTTATAGTTTTTAATTGACTATAATTTTCTCACAGTTTAGTTTTTGTAATGTTGTTAATTTTCAAATAGATCCAAAAGATGGAATTCTTGTGCTTCTGCCAGAAGAGTTACAGTTGAGACTGGTGCAGCTTTTGTATTTTATTCCATTTCTTTCATCTGATTTGCTGGTTTCCTTGAGTCACTGTTGTATCTCTGAAATGTTACCATCTAATCTTGCATCCAAGCTCATTGGAATTTTACATGCCAGGTGAGTTAATCTACTGATATTTGGAACAGTGTATACAACTCTATTTATTAGACATCTGTAAAATAAATTAAAAAGCTGCTGGCTATTCTAAGTAGTATATAATTAAATATTATGGTGACCACATACTTATTGATGCTATCTTACAGTTGATCATTTAACTCCACTAACCTTCTCAAATGGAATGCAAATTACACCCCCTACTTTTTATTGATTAAGGCCGATTCACACCAGGGCGCACTGTGCTACAACACATGTATTTTTGTGTGTTGGGGCCTTGTGTTAGGCAGCCCATTTTAAATGAATTGGCTAAACCTTCTTTAACATATAATAATTGCTGCATTGTTTGTTTTTTGCAGTGCAGGTTTGTTGCAGTCTCATTAACCCCTAAGTGACCATGTTACAATTCACATTTTAGGACTGAATATTACTTCAAACCCCCAAACATTATTTCCTGAAAGCCAAGACCCTGTAGAATAAAATGGTGGCAGTTGCAAATTTTTATATTGCACAACATTAGCACAACTTATCAAACCCACAAATTTGTGAGGTGAAGTGAGAAATGCACTTGTTAAATTTAGTGCCCCAAAACACAATAAAATACGCATTTAAAAAATATATATATAAAAGGATGAGGTTACAACGAGTAAATAAATACCCAACATGCCCAGGTTTAAAATTGTGAAACGGCGACAAAATTCAGTACCCCAAAAAGACCATAGACGAAGCTTTAAGAGATCCTACAGGTCATCAGTGTAGAGAGCATAAATATTGGCTGTAATATCATTGCTCTCATTCTACGTTGGCGCACCCAACGCGTGTTTGTGAAGACGTGGGGGTGGGCTAGAGTGGTGGTAACACAGGCTTTTCATGCAGCTTCATAATCCCTTCTTTGTATGTATGGTAATATTTAGTAATGGTGCAGGATTTAATTTTACAGTTTCTGTTAACGGTATAGCTAAAGTTTAGTTTTATCAACAGTATGTGGCAACAGGTTTTGATTTCCAGTTAAAACTGTGCTACATAACAAGCAAATACATGCTGGTAAACTATTTGCAACTAAAGAACACAAATGACAAATATTTATTTAGCCTGTTAATGTGCAGAATATTTGGTTTTATTTTTAGATGCTTTTAATAATGTCCCACATATAAACATATATGTGTATAATAACCCTTCATTAAATAGTGTATGCTTTTTTTAATGGCATGCAGCAGTAATTATTGCCTAAAAATCATGAAATATGGGGGATGCAGTTGTGGATCTTTTGAAAATGCTGTTTCCCTGGCTCTCATGCAAACACTCTGGCTTTAATGTAGTATCAGTCCGTCCCCTTATAAAAAAAATCTAGCTTTAGAGGCTTGATGCTTGTGTGCCTGCGATTGCCAGGCAGCTAGCTAGTGTTTTTAGAACAAGGTCAGCGACCTTTTTTTCTGTGTTTTTTAAATTAAAAGCAAATCTCAGGTTTAAAATAAGCATATAATCCATGCTGGCAGCACATTTCCAACACCTACATTTGCCTACATGTTATGTCTCTTATACAGTTTAGTGCCTTGAATCCCCAGGCACTCTGATATGCAAATACTTGCCCAGGTTAATAGTCGAGTGCTTATCACTGTAATTAATGGCCTCACAGGCCCACAGTGGAGCATAGGAGAAGATTCAAGGGGCTTGACACAAGAAACTGTGAATAAGTGTATATCAGTGTTCCCGGTTATTTGTGGCTCTAGATTTGATAACTGGCCCTATGTGTGGGTGCCTATTATGCACTACTGGCATGGACTGGGTACTTCATTTACACTTCATTCTTCCTTAAGGGATCGTGTTGACCTGTATTGTTTCCTGCCTATGATATGCATTTGAAACGCACATCAAATGCCGGTCAACAAATTCACCATGACTTCAAACTTCAATAGTTTTATATGTGTCCCATCAGTGACCTACGTTGAGCAGGTGATCACACTTAGTAAATAGGCCCTTACCGGCCAATTTCACTTATTAATACAGGTGTGAAAATCCTGACTAAAATACTTGCCTGTTGACTGAATTCAGTAATTCACACACTCTAACCTAACCGATGTTATACCCAGATGTGTGACCAATATTAACATTAGAAGACTCCTTCCCAATTTAGAATGTTGGCACGACTTTCCAAAATCTAGAGCCATTCTAGCCTTAAACACATATAAGGTGTTTGACACTGTTGAATCTCCAATATAACTCGAACCCATTGTAAATTTTGGTTTTGGCCCCACACTCGTAAACATGATTTAAACATTATCCAACGAAGAAACTGCCTATATAGTCACAGATCTGTTCCCTATACAGAGATGTACATGGCTATTGAGCCACTGTTGGAGCGTCTCTCCTAATCCAGGGACTTACAGTTGGTACCCTGGAAGAAAAGCTGTCACTGTACGCAGTTGACATTCTTATCTCCCTGACCAACCCCAAAAACTAATCTAAACACAGTCCTGGAATTGATTCAAGAATTTGGAGTTTACTCTGGTTTTAGGGTAAACTGGGGAAAGTCAAACAACTTCTCCATTGACACTTTAGGTTACCAATATATTTCAGTATCTGGGAGTTGAAGTTCTGTTACTCAAATACATTGAAAACAAACTGAACCCACTCATAGTATCATTTATAGGCAAAACAACTGTGTAAAATCTACCTTTGAATTTAATAGACAAGGTTAGGGCTGCAACAACTAATCGATGCTAATCGATAATGAGAATCGTTGTCAACGATTCTCATTATCAATTAGTTGATTCTTCGAATAATTGTTACATGGGCTCTGTGTCCCTTCAAATCCCCACTGCTCCCAATGAGGATGGGAAGGGACACAGATCCGTGCAGCCTTTGTCTGGCTCCAAACCTCACTCTGTCCCAGTGCTTCGGCTGCTCCCCCGTGCCCCCTCTTCCTGTCTTTTGCCGGCTTGCTCCCATCCATGCATTTTAAATTGCAGGAGCCAATAGGAGGCTGGCTATTGCACCCACCCAATGTCTGCTGTCTGTCAGCAGAGGAGAACTTGAAGGATAACTATCTCTTTCAGTTCCCTCCTCTGCTGATTGACAGCAGGTAGTGGGCGAGTGCAAAAGCCAGCCTATTGGCTACTGCAATTTACCCCCAGCCACTCCCTGCTGTGTTTACATTCAGAAGGCAGCTGTCATTCCCCAGCTAAAACCATTGAAGTGGAAAGGTGACACTAGGGAACCTGTCACCACCAATGCTTTTTGCTTTTCATTTCAGGTTATTTTAAATCCATGAAACCAATTAAAATGTCTAATATGATACATACAATTATTTAAAGAGATGTGAAAAAGTAATTTTTTTTTATCCAGTTGATCAGAAAAAAAAAAAAAATCGGCCAACTAATCGATTATGGAAATAATCATTAGTTGCAGCCCTAGACAAGGTATATCTCTAAAATTGTCTTTCTCCCTTGAGTTTCTATATATCGAATTCTCCAGTTTATACCGTAGCCCATTTTATCTCCTGCCAATTGTCACATTACAAATTTCTAGGGATGCACCAATGACGTTTTTTTGGTATCAAGTACCGAAATTTTTTTTACTGGTACTCGCCGATACCAAAACCCAAAGCCCCATTAAGGATGCGGGGCAGCATGTAATGACTCGCCGCCCGACTTCCTGATTAGCCGAGAAGCCGTCTCAATGCTCCCTCAAGGAAGCATGGAGTTGGCTTTCTGGCGAATCAGGAAGCCAAGGGGCCGGTAATGACTCACCACCTGGCTTTCTGATTGGCAAGCTTCCCGACCAATCAGGAAGCCAGGCGGCGAGTCATTACACGACGCCCGGCTTCCTGATTGGCCTGGTAGCCAGTTTGACGAGAAAGCATGGAACCGGCTTTCTGGCCAGTCAGGGGGAGGGGATAATGACTCGACACCCAGCTTCCCGACCAATCAATAAGCTCGGTGGGGAGTCATTACACACCGCCCCGGCTTCCTGATTGGCCCAAAGCCAGCTCCGTGCTTCCTCATCACTTGGTGATGAGGGAGCATGGAGCCAGCTTCCCGGCCAATCAGGAAGCCGGCTCCATGCCCAAATGCTCGGTATCGGTACTGAAATTGGTATCTGTGCATCCCTACAAATTTCCCCTCTGTAAAATATGCTGCTATGCTGACCACACTAAACTATTCTCCAGATATCGTAGTTACTTGGAATATATTTTACACCACAAGGGTTATTTAAAATGAGCAAATGTGACACACCAGTATGTCATAAATGTCAAAGGCAGGAGAGTAATTCAATACACATGGTCTGGGGCTGTGACAAAATAATACCCTTCTGATCAGAGAATTCCTGTCATAACTTTAACATCCCCAACATCTGTAACCCCAAGAGATGTCCATTAGATTTACTGGGAGATATTGAAATAAACTATGCTAACAAGCAATTAATTCACCTCCCTACATTTGTATGCAAAAAGAAAAACTGTAGCTCTACAACATAAGAACACTGAACCCCTAAAACCCTCTGAACTGAAAAGGTTGATGAACTAGGTATACCTCTACATAAAATGACGTATGAAGCCAGAGGCTGTCCCACCAAATGTGGTGAAAAAAACATGGACAGATTGGGTGGGAACTACTAACGCATCTTTTAGTCATCATCATAGATAATACAACACCCCACACTCAATCCCAAACCAAATGCGATCAAGGGCTCAAATATTGCATAAATGATTTGCAGTTTCTTTACTGATATACTTCAACAAGGTGTTATTATTCCATGGAGCCATAGATGTTCATCTTTAGTTGGTTTTATTTTTGTTTCTATTTTTTTTTTTTTAATTAAAATATTAATAAATCAAAAAGCAATACACCACCTTTGTTCTGGCCAGGAAGGGGGTCTAAACACCTGGTCTTCAAGCAGTTAAACAAACAGTATTCTATTACACCACTACAATATTTTTTTTTTTTAAATGCACATGAAATTCGTATGGGAAATTCATTTCACCTGCAAAAAGTTTTGAATTTTGTCTAGCTATTCATAATATATATACACAGTCACAAAACTGTATGCTGAGTTTTGTTTAGAATTGAATTTAAATGGTAGTATGTGGCAAGCCTATGTGACTTTGAAAGGCAACAAACCATAGTTATTTTATTACAGGTCTCCCTTCGGGAATTGGATGTGTCCAGTCTTTGAAAGTACACTGCATGATGTGGATTATTTCAGTTTTCTGTTCTCAACACTCATAGGTAAAGTATTCTTCTACAAACTCTTTAAAACTGAGACTTGTGTAGGCTGCCATTGCTGATACCCTTCTGAAAATGCTAGCTGCCTGCTTGTCTTCAACTCTAAGTCACTGACCGGGAACAACCATATACAGCGAGCGTAGTTCTAGAAACGTCACAAATTCTTATTTCCCTACTTGTTTTTGCTTTACACACATACACTAGAATATTGTCTCAAGACACACTCAAGTCGTATCAACACACCTATGGTTTCTTATTTTTGTGTCTTCTGTTCACAGGTGCTTGAGGGTGCTTCTGTCTCCAGGCCTACTGAAACGTGCATGTAGCGTTACCAACCCCTTCTCACTACACACATGCACACACTTAAAGTCACTAAACATGCAGAACATTCTGCTAAATTTAAGTCAAGCTGACCAACATTCAACCAACCAGTCTTCCTCCTTTATTCCATCCACATGTAACACCCTTGGCTGGATATGAAGTCACCTCACTTCACTTTACTTCAGAAGATTTCGAACCACTTCCCACCTCTTACCAGACTACATTACATGCACCCCTCTTCCTCCCACTGAATTTTTTTACACGTCCACAAACTATCTACTTCCCCTAACATGCCCATCTCCAACTCCTATAAAAACTTGTACTTGTACAACCACAGGAATTAACATTATCTCAGGCAAATGTATCTGCCTGTAAATTTAGCTTGGTTGTGTAGTTGATGAACAAGCTAATGCTTATTTTATTTTCACTATTTTTTTTTTTTTTTTAAATAGGATTTTCTACTGAGAAGTTATCATGGATGCAGAGTAATAAACTCAATTCTCGACTGAGCAAAACAAGAGTATCTCGTGTCTGTCTTTATATGACTGAGCAGACATTTTTTCTGCATCACTGGACAGTTACTCAGGTAAAGCCATCTGTTTCTATTAAAAGTATTTGAAGTGTAATTCCAGCCAGAACTGATTTTATGTGTAGCTAGAGTGTGAAAGGTTTCAAACCCCTGTTGGGTTTTTACTCCACTTTGGACCTCTGTTATTTACTGTTATGTTGGCAGTAGTTTCACCTGGCAAGTATGGAAGAAAAAAAATCTCCCAACAGCGGCACAGGATTAAAAGTGGGCCGGGGTTCCTGTCGCTCACTAATTTACTTTATTAAAAACCAAAAAAAAAGCATTTTAACTTGCTGTTGGAGATTTTTCCTCACTTACTGTCTGGGGTAGTGCTGCAACTTATGATTATTTTCATAATCAATAAGTTTAGATTTAAAAGATTAAATAAATACCATCCTTAATTTAAAATAAAATACACAAATGGAGTGTTACAAACCTAAAGTTTACTTCAGAATAAAACTGCATGCACAATTTTTTTTGCAATTGCACTGCACGGGCATTGCTGTACCGTGCGTTCCAGTGTGGGCGATCACACTGTGGGTGGGAGGCACGTTTGGGGAGCTGTTGTAATGTATGGCACTGCAATGCACCTTATGCAGCAGAATTATTCAGGCCAAAGCCAAAAATGACTTTCACCATTTTTTTTAATAATATTTTTTTACAAATATTTGTATTGTAAGCATATGGCGCTTGAATAGCTTCAGCCAGGGAATGACAGCTGCCACTGGCAACATTCTACAGATGGCAGCTGAATGTAAATACAGCAGGTAGTGGGCTGGTGGAATAGTCAGTCTGCTATTGGCCATTTAACATTGTAATAGCCAATAGCAGGCTGGCTTTTGCACCAGCCTACTGCTTGCTGTGCCCTCCTCCCAAGCGTGGAGGAGAGAGTTAGGGGATCCAACCAACTAATCGATAATGAATAGTTGACAACCATTCTCATTATCAATTAGGTGGTTGCATCACTAGTCTGTCACCAAGGCAATAAGGGGAATTACAAAAAAAAAAAAAAAAAAAGATTTCGATAGACATACACTTTGTTGATAAATCTTCTATTTTTCATCTTGGATATTGTATATGTATAACAAATTCTAATACATGTAGATTCCATATACTTATTGGACGCAGCAGTATATGTACCTCAAGAAGTAGAAAGCGCTAATCAGTTTGCACTAACAAGAAGTATGCTGGTAACAGGCGAAAGCAGAATGTCAGAGAGATGAGCTCATTACTGTGCTGCATTTCCTTTCACTGTCCAGTAACAGGCTGGGGCAGGTTCAAGACAAGCAGGGTTCAACCTCTTTGCATCCACCGACATACATAGTAGTCATTGGCAGCATGGCCCTGTAAAATCTCTGGGGACTCTGTTTATCTTTTGTAAAGCCGTCTGCCAGCTTTACAATAGAAGCAATTGTGGCCGCTCAGCTGCTGCCAGATCGCTTCTGTGGGCCGGTACAGTGCAGGGAAATAACATGCATAAAATATATGTTAAATGTACATATAATCTTATGGAATTCATTTTGTTGAACGGCTTATACCAGCCTGCACTCTAAAATGCTTGTTTGGGCTAGTGTCCTGTGGGATGTCCTGTGGGTTGGTGGTGCATCACACTGTTTTTTTTTTTACTCTATTTGAAGTGTACACTAAATTCAGATCTCCGCACAGCAGCGTGGTGTGCTGCGGTACGGTAATTTATGGTTCAGTGACCTGCAGTGTAATCCAGTATCTGCCTTTTTTTGCCCCATTCACATCACACCAATGTTCTGGTGTGAACATGGGAAGCAATTTTTTTATTTTCCAAAAGGAATTGTTTGTGGTTTTTACACGCACTGTTCATCATGTGCCATTTTTCAGGTATTTAGTTTTTACGAAAACCAAAATACAGGAACTCTCAGCTCCTTATTCGTTTTGTACAGTTTCAAAACCATTCTGTATATTTATTGTGGACAACTGCTATTGGTGTTCATTTTGACCTCTTTCTGTCTTTCGTCACATCAATTCTTCCACTTCTGCTTGCTGGAGATTTAATGCAGAGAAATAATGACAAGTGCCATTAATCTGGCTGCAGTAGCGAGGTTAATCTAAAGCAGAGCTGTCCAACTGGTGGCCCATGAGTTAGACAACCAAGTTTTACATTTGGGGAATACGATTCTGTCATTCAGAGTGGCAGCATTATTACTACACTAGCACCAACGAAATAATAGGTAAAAGAGAACTATAGCTAAATCTTTTTTTTGGCAATAGTTCCCTTTTGGGTCACAGGTATATTTACTAATCTACTGCACTGCCCTGCCACAACATACCCAGGGAACAAGTATATGAACTATTCCTACCTTCCATTGAGATGACCAACACTCGCATGTATTTGCAAAATCATGAAATAAAATATATATAATATGTACAGAAAACTAAATGTGGCTGAAGGACTGTTACTTTAGTGACTGGTAAGACTGCAACCCAAAAATGTAGCTGAGCTTACACTCCCATTAGAGAAGCAAATCATGTAATATATAGCAGTATTCCTTAGCTTTTGGATATGTCATAATCCACTATTCTTGTTTATGTTCTAGCAATTGTAAAAACAAAAATATTTCAAAAGTAATAAATTTAGCAACAAATAACCTTGTCACAGGCTGTCAGGTTTTCTGATACCTTTTAAAACACACACCACACACACCACCAAGTGCAATGCAAATCGTCAGATGCAGTGGTGTAAAGCACGCTGCCACTGGACTCGAGTCGTGGTAAGTGGAGGCATGTTCTCTGGAGTGACGAATCACGCTTCTCTGTCTGGCAATTCGAAGGACGTGTCTGGGTTTGGCGGTTGCCAGGAGAAAGTTACTTGCCTGACTGCATGGTGCCAAGTGTAAAGTTTTTAGTGGAGGGGGGATTATGGTGTGGGGTTGTCTTTCAGGGGTTGGGCTTGGCCCCTTAGTTCCAGTGAAGGGAACTCTTAAGGCATCAGCATACCAAGACATTTTGGACAATTTAATGCTCCCAACTGTGTGGGAACAGTTTGGGGATGGCCCCTTCCTGATTCAACATGACTGCGCACCAGTGCACAAAGCAAGGTCCATAAAGACATGGATGAGCGAGTTTGGGGTGGAGGAACTTGACTGGCCTGCACAGAGTCCTGACCTCAACCCGATAGAACACCTTTGGGATGAATTAGAGCGGAGACTGCATGCCAGACCTTCTTGTCCAACATCAGTACTTGACCTCACAAATGCGCTTCTGGAAGAATGGTCAAACATTCCAATAGACACACTCCTAAACCTTGTGGACAGCCTTCCCTTAAGAGTTGAAGCTGTTATAGCTGCAAAGGGTGGGCCAACTCAATATTGAACCCTACGGACTAACACTGGGATGCCATTAAAGTTCATGTGCATGTTAAGGCAGGCGTCCCAATACTTTTGGCAAAATAGTGTATACACCATAACATGATATTTTTGACAGTGATTATGGACTGATAATTTGCAATATTGTGTAGGTCTGCTGAAAGCAGTATCCCCCTCCCACTACACAAATTACCCTCACAAAATTAGAATTATTTGAATTTGTATTAATGCACTTGAACACATGCTACTTCTTAAACATTTCAGCCTAGGGCTATGTCACAAAGACAAGATACAAGCAATATTCCTAATTGACAAATGATAACCGAACGTTTTCTCTACTTTCTTTTGATCATTGCCTTGGGTTCTTTCATTTACATTAACATTTATTAACGTAATGAAAAAGTTCAATTTTCCTGCAGTCTCTTTTAAATTACCTTTTTATTCATTCAGTCTACTCTTACTTTACACTGGGTTTTTTTTTGCTATTAAAATATCTATGCTTTTTACTGTGTTTTCTTGTATAAATGAAATTGCAATGCCAATTATTATAAGAGAATCTTGATATTTGTCTAAGCATTAATTGCACTAGAATTTACATCTTTATTTCATCAAAGCTTGAGAAGCAAGGTTCAGTCTGTTCTTAAATTACCTAATTTATGGTCATTTCAGATATTTTAAAATATAGCGTTAGAATATCAGCAGCTTGGTTTGATAGGGGAACGTGTTGAGCTCTCCATGTTCAGTGGATAGTCAGCAATGGACAAATAAAGGTACAATATCTGTAAACTGGAACAGGTTCAAATAGGATAAAAGAATATTAACATCTTGTTGGAATAGTATTGCTGACAACACAAACAACCTAATCTTAGACTACAATGCCCTAAGTATCTTCCCTGGAATGTTTTCATGTTTTTTTGTCGTTTTTGTTTCTACACTGATAAGAAAAATAGTGATTGTAAGGCCTCATTCACACACAACGCAAGCAAAATTGTATATTGCGTATATACGCGTCTATGCGCGTATATACGAGCGTATATGCAATCACAGAATGCATCACTCATAATGGAATTTTTAATGTGCTATACGCAGAAATACGCTGCCCGGACGCATCTCTGTTCCATTCTGTTTTTGCGCATATATACGCTACACAAATATACAGCTCCATACGCGACTGTGTGTATGGACCCATTTATTTGCATATGGTACAGTACGCGTGTATATGCGCGGCAGTGTGAATGAGGCCTTAAAGTGAACACCGATCTTTGCAAAGTGATTAAAATTAAAAATGCATAATAGCTGACTGCATAACTTAATTATAATTTATTTGGATTAAAACTAATTTGTAAATAATGCCTAGTTGCATTATCCTCTGCACAGCAGCATTCCCAGTAAGCGAGGGAGGATTAGTATCCTGATTCAGCTGGTCTCCCTTGATTTGCATTTGGAAATTGGAAGTAAGGCAGAAGAATGACCTCACCAGTATGTAGGCTTTCCCGCATTTACCAATAACAGGCTGGTCTTTGACCAGAATTTACTTTAATGTACCTTGCCAGGAAGTCAGGTGCCTGGCTGTGGTGCCCTGTTTCCCAAGACTGGCTGAACGGTACACATTATCTGTTAGTTTAAATAACATATATTTCAGTTAGTTAACTGTTGGCCTGTGACTCTGTTGCAGACCTATGTTACATTGGTGAGTAGTTAGCGAAAGAATTGCTGAGATAATATTTTATCTCCTATAGTTCTACCTTGCTGGTCAAGCCACTGAGATGTGGCTCTGTGCCTGCTCTTTTTGCTCAGCAAGGGGACAACTTCCATTGGTTACTGTGGCAGCTGCAGTGATACTGCTGTTAAGGTGTCAACAGTGGAAGAATTGCTGGTGTGATATGGTTCTTAAAGTGCAGGACACCTCAAAAGTTTTTTTTCCCCTTAATTTTAATTCCTGTATTTTCCTGTATTTTTACGAACTGTTTTTCTGCTGACTTATGAATGAGCGTGCATAACGGCGAATAATTACTGTACATTTCATTACTGCTTATCAGATAAATGAATCACTATAGAAGACTGCCTTAGGTGGTAAACTGATTATGTTTTCTCTCTTTCATTGCCATGTCGCCTCAGATTTATTTATCTTTTAGAGGGCATGTTAGACGTATATTTAAAGACTCGTTGATATTTTATTATGTAGCTTGAATTAGAGGCAACACAGATTACCGAAACTTGATTCTTATTTTTTCTGATATGTTAGGATTTTGTTTTGTTAACTTGTTGCACACTGGGCAAAGCAAACTGAGCATATGATGGGAAAATTCAACTTTTTGCAGGCATAATTTTCACAGGAGCTGTTGCAGCAGATCCTGAGGCAGTGTGACCTGGCTGTCAAACTGAGCATATGATGAAAAAAATTTGACTGTTTGCAGGCATAATTTTCACAGGAGCTGCTACAGCGGAGTGTGACCCTTCCGTCAAAATGATGCTTAATGATAACACTGATAGAACAGCCTCAGCTGTGAAGGAGGTGTTTCAATGTTTTTCTTTTGCGGTGAAGCTTTGTATGCCCAAGGTTCTCAACTGGTTGATCACGCATATAATTTTGTGAGTCAAGTTGTGTTATATTCAATTTATACGGCTTTACTTTTTTTTTTCTAAAACCCAATTTTACCCTCCCCCGAAACCACCCCATCACCAAATGCTTTTCCATTCTACACTGAGCGTTATTTGGCAGGAAAGAGAACCAGCACTTGATCACTGAGCCAGGTGACTGTGTGGGGTATAGTACTGGAGAGGAGGCTAGCATTTCAGCAGGAACTGCATTTTTATTCAGAGTGGTTGTAGCCTACTCCTGAAGAAGCGGATCTCTGTGAAACGTGTAGAAATTGCCATCCTCCCACTTGATCACACCAGAAATAAAAGCTGACATGCAGCATATTGTAATACCAAACTAATATGTGGGAGGATGCGGCTAGATCCTTTGTTCTTAAACTCAGACAATTTTAAAGCACATGTTTTAAAGATGTTTAAATACATTTTGTTATTATTTATACAAATAATTCTGTGTTCCTTGGAGTACTTAAAAAGCCCTGCTTTTTTTCTTGTTTCTTTTCTATATCTCTGCATCCATTGTCGAACCCTACAATCCAGGACTGACTCTCCACTTCTGCATGACAGTTCTGGGTCTGATGATAGTTTCCTTGTGAGTCCCATACACCCAGTTCCACTCCAGACCATTGCCACGCCACATTCTGGCTGTGTGGGTCAAGAAAGCACAGTCTATGCTTCTGCCTGTTGCCCAAAATCAAACTTTCTCTGGCCTGCTGGCTCACAAATCCAGCCTTTGAGTTGAAGTCCTTCCTGCCTTTTGACCTGGAAGATCCTCACAACAGCCTGAAAGGTTTGGAGGTGTCCTGGACTCTTTAAGGACTTGGTTGCCAGAGAAGACTTGCCTCCTGATCAACGTACTGGAGCTTTGAATGATCCTAAGGACCCTTCATTGCTGTACTTCTCGACTGTGGGGTTATCCGACCTGCATCCAGGCAGACAACGTCACAGCCGTGGCGTTCATCAACCTTGAAAGAGGAACCAGAAGTCTTGCAGAAGAGAAGCTTGTCAGATTCTGGTTTGGGTTCCCGCCTTGTCTGCTGTACAATTTCCCGGTGTTTGCATCTAGACGCCAGATAACTGTCTCTTCATCCAGGTTCAACATCAAACTGAACCAGTTTGTCTCCAGATGCAGTTATCCTCTGGTGGTAGCAGTGGATGCTTTGGTGACTCCATGGGCTCAGTTCAGCCTGAGCTATGCATTTCCTCCTCTCAAGCTACTTCCTCGTCCGGGGGCTTCCCTGAGATTTTGTTGCACCAAATTGCCCCAGTCTAGCAATGTATACAGACCTCATCAGACCCCAAGCTAACACTCTGTGGGCCCTTTCAGATCACCCAGACCTCCTGTCCTACTCTGACTTGGCTCATTTCCTATATTTTTCATAAGGTTAAGTATCTTGAGGCCTAAGGCCTTCTTTCTCCCCAAGGTGGTTTCTTCCTATTACCTCAATAAGGACATTTGTTCTCTCTCCCAGACATCTTAAGGAGATCCCCCTTCCTTTCCTGGATGTTGTTAAGAACGGTTTGTCTATTGCTGAGTTACCTATTCCTTCGTCAGACTGATCTGTCATCTCTGAAGATCCCCATAGGGAATCTTCATTCCATCATCTCTAGGTGGCTTAGACAGGTTATTATTCAGTCCTACAGATTTTAAGATAAGGTTCCCCCTTTCCTGTTCTATTTCTCAAATTTGCAAGGCTGCCACCTTGTCTTTTGTTCACCCGTTCTCTAAGTTCAACCAGCTAGATGTTCAGGCCCTAGCTGATGACAATGTTGGATATAAGGCCCTTCAGACAGCTCTTTGATCTGCAAGTCATCCAATTTTCTTACCTGTTATTTTTGTGACGTGTTGTTTGCTGTGTTGCCCACCACCCACTTTGACTGCTTTTGGACCTCTTGGTTATCTCTAAATAGTCCCTTAATGAATAAGAAAATAGGATTTTTGACTTGCCTGTAAAATCCCTTTATTCGAGTCCCTCGCATCTGTCCCATGATCCACTCTTCCATTACTTGGCCATAAAACTAAGACATGCTAGGAGTGGGAGGGGTTTTCATGCCCGACTGACACTGTTTGCCAGTGTCCAATTCTCCTCTAAGCAGCAATATAACCCAGTTCTTTTTGAATATATGTCCCTTAATGAACTTCAAAAAAGAATTTAACAGATAAGTTCACTATCCTGTTTTATTCTTCCAAAATGTTTAAATAAGATAGCCACGTGTGCAGACTAATTTTTCAGCTTTTCCTGACTTGCAAGGTGTTCTCGGGCCAAATGCGAAACAGAATTACAGAGGTGTCTGCCCTGGAGCCCTCTCCCGGTTGGCTTTGCCTGGTAAAGCCCCCAACAGTTGTCCCTGGGAATCCGTCCAAACAACTGAAGCTGTCACCTCGAAATTTAGGCAAGCAGCATTTTTCTAGTTAAATTCCTCATCTTACCATGACATTTAAGCTTAGCAGTCCTACAGAGAAACTTAATGTATGATTTCTACCATAATCTTGTGGCTTTCATCATTACTCACAGATGTTGACTATAGGAGAGGATAGGGGTGCAGTTTGGCTAGTAAAGAGCAAGTTTAGCAAAAACATAGCTCAAAGTTCTTCTATAACTTGCTGGATTAGAAGTGTTGTGCTCTATTAGTTAGGTCTAAACTCGGCACTGAACCCATCATGGGTGAGCTAATGTTAACTGCTGTATGAGGCTCAGGGAATGATATCATGTATAAGTGGCAGAAATTTCACCTCTACCCAAATTTTCTTCTTTCTCCTCTCTCTCTGATAGATAGATAGATAGATAGATATATATATATCTCCCCTCTCATATCTCTCTCTCATACCTCTCTATTTCTCTCTCTCTCATATATTTTTGCTCTCCCTTATATAATATCTCGCTCTGTATCTGTTTCATCCCAACCAGTTTTGGGTGATTGTTATATAACAAGAAAGGAAGAAAGCAGCACTTGTGTTTCATAAGCTTGAGATTGGTTGTATAGTTTCATAGCCATGTATGCTATGCCAATCCTGAATAACTTATTGCTTTTTCAGACATTAATTAGCGTTATTTACATTTCTGCAGGCAGTATGCAACAGCTTGTCTTCAGTGAGATCAAGGCGTCAATGCTTTGAAATCCTTCAATATGCCGTCATCAAGCATCTTGTAAGTCAATGTTATGTTTCAAAATACGTAATGTTGTATTGTCTAATTCCTTCACAGAAAATCAAACCTGCTGGCCCAGCCTGTGTGTACAACTATGTCCCTTTTTTAATGTTCCATGTTGCTTTATTTAAACAGTGGTTACATAAAAAAGCATTTTTCACGCTCGGAGCTTTTTTTGTCTTATAAGGAAAAGCGTATTTAGAAATTTGGTCGCCAGCCTTGAAGCTTCTTTCCTCTGGTTTTAAATTATTAGAACCAGCCTAATATATAAATATCTCAAAGCTCACTGTTGATATTGCTTTACCACTGCCATATTCCCAACATATTTCTGCTTATCTGCTCATGTGAGGTTATCAGAATTACAAATGCCTAAGCATATTTGTTACTTTAAAATTACATTTTGATAGTCTGGTAGCTTTTACAATATACATTTCATTATACAGTTCTGTTAATGGTTTAGCTGACTGACATGCTTTAGGGAAGGAATGGTTGTGCTTGATTTGAAAATTTAAACCCCTCTAGTTGGAAGCCTTTATGCCTGAGAATTTTTTTTATTGAATATATTTACAAATATATGATTTTTAAACCAGCAGATAGTAGAAATAATGAACAAGCCAGTCATATTAAATAAAGCTGAGTTAAGTTAAACAGTCCACTTGCTGTAAAACCACATATCGTATTTTGCACTATTCTCCTCAAATCATCTTCCGTACATGTGGGTGGAACTACAGCTCTTGCTGAACTTCTGTGCCTAATAGGCACACCTAATAAGTCCCATAGACCCCAGCACTGTGGTCGCGTCTCCATCCCTCTCTTCTGGTCAATCACAAAATGCACAGCCACAGGCTTAATTTTGTGAATAGTCAGGAGGAGATGGGGATGGAAATGCGACTGCAGCACATATACTTCTCTGTAGAAAAGACACAAAGGGGTACAGTATAATATATGGAGAACTTAATTAATGTATCGAAGCTATACAGGTTGAAGGTTTATTGCCTTTTGTTTTGTCTTTGCTGTTGCCTACATCTACTCAGTCACCTCTGCCCATTATATACCTCTCCTGCTCTCAAAAGCTGTTTTGAATACCCAAGATTTTATGGTCAGTTGCAGCACAAAATATTAGATCCGAAACACAGAGAGCAGTCCCGCAGGCCTCTCCAGCTCTCAATTCACCAACAGCTTGCAGTGCACCTCTTTAGGAACCAAACACTGATAACATGAGTCTTTGTTATCCGCACGATCCGCCGCCTGGCGCGACTGGGGTGCCATTAGAAAATAATGGCACCCACATTTGTGCACAAAACCGCGCGGTCAGGAGTCGCCTAGGTGTGAACCTAGCCTAAGGGTCTACCAGAATTTCAATTTACCTTTTTTAATTGGGGTAGGCCATCATTTATAGTTAGAATTAAGAATGCTCAAATCTGAAACAAACATCAGTATGTCCAGTCTGTTATTGCTTAATTGTCCTGCCTGTGAGGGTTAAGCTGGCTGTATGCAATTTCTCTTGTTCAGCCCAGCATGAATGGGTGAATCTCCCCTGCTGGCTATTGTATTCAAACAGCCAGCACCTTCATCTGTCAGAATACCCGAACAGACACTGCAGCTGATTGACTGCAATCACTGTTTGGCCGACTATTTTTTTTTCCCCCACAAGGCCCTTTGAGTTTTTAGTTGAAGTTTGTTGAGTCGTGTGGGCCACCTGAGGATCAAATTCCTTTGAATCAGCAGAATTTCAAACCACATATGGCCAACTTTATTGTGGCAGGATGATGGATAATGTTTAATTGTACACTACTTCTGTAGTCAAGATTGTAGTCAAGCTTCTGCTTGCCTTTTGTGTGAATAAGCATTTACCGTATTTTTCGCTCCATAAGACGCACTTTTTGCCCCCCAAAAGTGAGGCAAAAATGTGCGTGCGTCTTATGGAGCGAATCCCTCTCGCCCAACGCCCGAGACATGCAGTTTCGGGCGCCGGGCGAGTAGTTTTTTTGTACATTCAGCCCTGCTCCTGACAAGCAGGGCAAAATGTACAGTGGGTGCCGCTGCTCGTTTAATACAAGTGATCCAACCAGATCACTTGTATCAAATCATGCAGCGGCGATTGTGTGCGCCCCCATACCCTAACGCTGTGGTTTTCGGGGTCCCCCGCTCCTCTGGGGGACTAGTGACCACGGCATAGGAGCTCCCCATAGAGCTCGTAGAGCAGACAAAGAACATCCGTTCTTTGTCTGCTCTGTGTGATCACTGAGACTGTGGCGCTGTAATCACAGTGACACCTGTCTCAGCTATCACCAACTGCAGCTATTACAGACTCCTACCCTCCCTGCGTCCTATGGTCCGGTGTGCCTTATGGAGCGCAAAATACGGTATATATTGAATTTCTAATATCCCATCGATCATATGGCCCTATGTGTGCCTATTAGGCATATGCAGTAATTAATGTATTCATTTTATTTATATCTGTTCATTTTTGGGTCTGGCTTTATTGGAGGCTGTTTGTTTTTTCATTTCCTTATTCCTTTCTTTTTTCTTTATTTTGTAGGGTGGCCTAATTATAATTCCAGACAGTACTATAGGATCAGTTTTACATGCCATTAATACTCTTATTGATCAAAGCTGTGTGCCTTCTGAGAATCTGAATGCCTTTTTGGCTTCCAACTGTTACAGCATTTTCAACTTCCTGCTTACAATGGAGAAAGATGCTGAGCATGTAAAGAAAAGGTAATGGCCACACGTCACAAACAGATGCTTATTCAAATAAAAAAATGGTTTGCAGCAGCTGTTTTTCGAACATTCTAATGTTGACCTCCACGATCAACCACCACAATTTGGGGGCTGCAATATCATCGCTGCAGTTTTTGTTAAAGTGACAAAGTATCTCTTTTCAAACTAAGGCCTCATTCACACACAATGCAAGAGCAAAATTGTGTACATGGCGCGTATATTATTATTACTATATAAGATTCATATAGCGCCAACAGTTTGCGCAGCGCTTTACAATATGGGGCAGACATTACAATCACAATACAATTCAAGACAAGATGGTAAGGAGGGCCCTGCCCCTGAGGTATATGCATATACTATATGCGATCCCAGAATGCATCATTTGCAATAGAAGTTTTAATGAACTGTATGTGCGTATACGCGCACAAACACGAGTATATGCGACTAAAATATGCAGAAATACGCTGCCAGACGCATCCTGGATCCATTCTGTTTTTACGCTACGCAAATAAACAACTCCATACGCAGCTATGTTTATGGAGCCATTTATTTGCATATGGTACAATACGCGCGGCAGTGTGAATGAGGCCTAACTATAAAAGTCTAAGTGACACAAAGTTAATTCTTAAAAATGTATTCAATTACCCTATTAACATAAATGTAGCTGATTTGTACATCACTCAGCACCAATTCAGAGATGATTTTAGGATCTACAGCTGACACTGTCCTTCCTTCTGTCTACTTTTGTTCCCCATGGTCTCTGTGTGTATTGTAAAGTAGTCACCGCTGCAAGCTCCCTCCCGAGATGCACTACAATCTCATTAGAAATTAAACTAGACATGAGATTGTAGTCCATCACAGGACCGGTGACTACTTTACAACACACACAGGGACCATGGGGAACAAACGTAGTCACCCTCCAGAAGGAAGGACAGTGTCGGCACCAATTCAGAGATGATTTGAGGATCTACAGCCGAGTGATACACAAATAAGTTTTGTTAATAGTTAAGGTACTTGAATCTATTTTTAAGACTCGCTTCACTGAGTGTTTATGTGACTCCAACCTTTTTTCCTTTACAAAACACATAAGCACCCAGGAGGAACAATCAGCAAATTGAGGGAAATTCTAAATCAGCAAATCTTTGGTTTCTACAATATAAAAACAAATGCACACAACATTGACTACTGTTGCTGACATTGTAGTCACTATTCATACACTGAATATAGCACTCCCTTCCACTTCTGTTCTGCCTGCCCAGAGTGCGGCTTAAGCGCTTTATGCAACATAATAAAAATGATGCACTCTGGGTCAACAATCTGTGTGCATATTGCCAAATATTTAGCTGAAAATAAAGGTAATGTTTTATTTGTAAGGGTCATTCTTATAAATAATGATATCTTCTGTAACGCAAACCTGTCCATATTGCTCTCAAAGCTAACTCGGCCTAAATTAGAGCTGTGCGTGGCCATGCTGGCACCACACCACTTGGCAAAAGTCAAAATGTTTGGCCAAATAGTGACTGCAGCCAATCAGAAGCAGTCACTGTTTGGGTATCCTGACAGAGTTGGCTGTCAGAATAAAATAGCGTGGCAGGGGAGAGTAATTCATGCTGGTAAACATGGATAGATGAATCTGTTAGATTCCTTTCATTTAGCCTAAAGCCTGAACAAAAGTAGTCTATAATTGTATGGGCAGCTTTACACAACAGAAAGATCCGGAATGTTGAACAGCAGAAGCAACAAGGATGGCTGGCCATTTTTGAAATAGCAGTCTTGAGGACATTTTTTTTGTGCAAATGTAGCTGAAAGTTATTTAGAAAGAACTCCAAAACATATCAAATCTAAGCAGGTCAGAACCATGGCTGGTAGGACTACCGATCGGTGGCTATAGAGCCGCTGATCGGTTGTATGTGAAACAGCCGTTAACGGCTGTAGTAACGAGCAGGTCTTTCCTGCCCATGCGCGCGCAAGCAGGAAAAAAATGCCGTCTGGATGCGGATGCGAGTCTGCCGTCCGTCCGTTTTTTCTTAATGGGCGGACGGCAAGAGGTTAAGGGATTTATTATCTTGGCCACATTTGCTTTATAGACCAGGGCAAGTTTGTTTGCTATAGGCTTGTTCCGACGATAACTTCATCACTTACAAAATTATACATTTATTATTGTTTTTAGGGCAAAGCTTTCTTTTGGTGATATTGCAGGGGTGGGCAACCTCGGCACCTCAGCTGTTGTTGAACTACAAATTCCATGATGCACTGCAAGACTCAGACAGCCACAGGCATGATTCTGAGGCAGCGGCACAATGGGATTCATAGTTTGACTACAACTTGAGTGCCAAGGTTGCCTACCCCTGTGATATTGTCGTACAAAAAATATGTCCTCTCCTATGCAGTCTATGGACAAAAAGATTTCAAACATACAAAAAAAATCACTTTTTTGTTTTACTTTTGATCAGTGGTGGTTTGAAAAAAAGTGTTGCTGTGGATAAAAGTATACGCGTTGTTCTGTAATGTGTCTAGCGTTATAATGGCACTAAAAGAACAATTCTTCTACAAATCATTGCACAGTTTGTTACAAATAAAACGAGCTTTTCATTTTTGTCAACCGTTTCGTTATCAGTACTCGGTATCGGCGAGTGCTGAAAGATAAATATCGGTACTCGTACTCGATGCAAAAAAATGGAGAGTATCCAAATAACTGTCTTTTAACTGTTTTCTCTCCCAGGGATAATTTATGGGGAGAATGCATTTCCTTACTCTCTATGCTGCCAAATGTTTTGAAGCTGATGTTACAGAACCTGCAAGTCAGCAGAGCTTGCCAGGAAGAGCTGCCTGTTATTGCACAGCTGCTTCGCCTCTTGCTGCAGAATCCACAGCTAAGAAGTCACATGATGACCAATGCATTCCTTGTCCAGCAAACCCTTCAAGATGTTATGGTAGGTTCAAATAAAACTATCTGAATTAACTGAGATAGTCATTGTAAAATGTACAACGTTTTGTTATGAATTGTCGTTGTGTGTGCACAGCACTATGCCTTATTGAAAAGGCAAATGCAAGGGATCCAGTGCAGATATCTTACTCTGGTAACAAAGACCTGTATGTAAAGAGCGAATAATGAAACTGCTGCTTGGTTGCCATGGGCAACTGCTCCAGATTTTGTCTGCTCCAGTTTTGATAAATGCCCCTCTCTGTTTTTACTTGGAGTGGCCTACGAGATATATCTCTGGGTACACACATGACTGGCTAGTCCTGATCAGCCAATCACAGTGTCCCTCTACAGGCAGACGGCACTGTGGCTCCATAGGTGTCCTGTATTTCACCCGGGGATTGTTGTGTGTGCACCGCGTGCGTGTGTGCACCGGGGGGTTTCGGGAAGAGGGCTCAGTGTTTGTGTGTGGGCTGCTGGATCTCCATTTTCGGGCTACTATTAGGTGCAGGCGTCTTGATAGGTTCTTTGCCCTGCCTCTACCATAGATTTTGAGTATTGGTGCCCATGGGGGTGGGCGACCTGGGTGTTTGGTGTACTTGAGGCCGTGGCTTTGTGGCCCAGTCTGGGAATGGAAGCTGTGTCCTTTCACTTAAACTATGATATTATACTACTATATTATTAACAGGACTTTTTGCTAGGTCCCAGGCTCACATTTGGGTAAGGGGTCTCCCTCGGGTGTGAGATTTGCGGATCTCCCTGTGGGAGTCTGTCCCATTGACAGTCTGGTACTGCTGATAGATCAGCTGCCATGTCCTCTATGCCATTGTTTCTCATATTTCTGGATCCACTGTCAAACCACCACCCCCCATCCTTTGAAGTGTTTTCTTCGGCCACGGATGGGTTTGTGTCACACATTGAACGTGTGTTCTCATGCTCCTGTCAAAATGTGATCTGTTTCTGCTTCTCCTGCCTTATTGGTGGTGTCGCACTTTGAGGAGGACACCACAGGTGTGCCGTCGTTGACATGCCTGGTACTTCTAATTCAGAGTAGGACATCTGGTAGTGATGTGAAAGCTTCCGCTTCAGCAATTATTCAGGAAATGGAGCTCGTCTCTTAGGATTGAAAATGTTCTGGGTATTTCTGGAGAACCTCTGGTTCCTTTTGGTACTCATAAAGCTCTTTCCCTATCATTCTTTTATTAATGAGTTCCTTTATAAGGCATGGAAGTGTCCAAGTCCTTTTATGGCTTCAAAGCTGCTTGTGGTTCGCTATCTGTTTGAGGAAGCTTTTCTTAAAAAATGTCCGTCTCTGCCGACGGTGGATGCTACATTCTCTTGGCTGCTATTCCTGTTCAGGATCCCCGACCCTTTAAGGATCTGACTAACAGGAAGGCTAAGACTACTTCTAGGACTATGTTTATCGTTGCTGGAACTTTGCTTCAACCCATTTTGGCCTCTGCCCTGGTTTCCCAGACCCTGACGGAATGGGTTAAGCTGCTTCATGCTGGTTTGGCTAACGAGAATATTGGTCCGACTAGCGTTGAGCTTGCGGATCATCTTGTTCAGGGTCCTATTATCTTTGTAATACTGTGCTGGACAATGGACATCTAAACTTTCGGTGTCAGCAGTTGTCATTCAGGGGCTTTTGTGGCTTAAGTGCTGCTCTCCGGATCAGACATCAAAAAAAGCCCTTGTGGAGCTGCCTTTTCAAGGAGATTGTCTTTTTAGTGCTATGTTGGATGAAATTATCAAGGACCAATTAATTTGCAAGGTGGATCAGTTTGTGGCCAGGACGCAGGATCCATGGGTAGATGCGATGGATGCCCTAGTGACGGCGTGGGATCACTACAGTGTGATTTATGCATTTCCTCCTTTGAAATTTGTCTTGTTTACTTCAAAGGATCAAGGTGGAAGGGATTCCGGTCATTCAGGTGGCTCTGGACTAGCTTTGCAGACCTTGGTACACAGATCTCATTCGTTTGGTAATCAATGCTCCTTGGTGTCTGCTGCTTCGTCCACACCTGTAGTTTAAGGGTCTGTCTTTCACATCCTCCTTTAACGGCATAGCTGTTAAAAGCCAGGTATTGAGAGAGAGAGAGAGAGAGAGAGAGAGAGAGCGAGAGAGAGAGATCATAAGGCTACTTCCCTCAGGATCTATTATTGTACGTTGAAGGCTTTTTTTCACTTGTGTGAGTGCTTGTCAGTTTCTGTAGTCGGCATCCTGGCTTTTCTTTATTGTGGGGTTGACCTTTAGCACTATCAAGGGTCAGATTTCGGTTTGGGATTTTCTCTTTAAATGTATTTATTTAATTGATTTATTACAGGTATTTTATATAGTGCCAACAATTTACACAGCGCTTTACATAGTGCACATTCACATCAGGGCCTGCCCTCAAGCAGCTTACAATCTAAGGTCCTTATCTCACATGCATGCATACGAGGGCCAATTTAGACAGGAGGTAATTAACCTACCAGCATGTGTTTTGAGTGTGGGAGGAAACCAGAGTACCTGGAGGAAACCCATGCAAGGACAGGGAGGACAAGCAAACTCCTTTGCAGATAGTGACCTGGCCGGGATGTGAGGCAGAAACGCTAACCAATACGCCACTGTGCTGCCCAATGACCTTTGACCCTCTTGTTGGTTAGTGCATACTTCTGTTCAGGGAATAACGCATGTCACTCCAGTGACACTGTGGGATCTGAATTCTGAGTTGCCTGTTTTGCGGAAATCTCCATTCAAAAATATTTGTGATTCCTTTGTGGACTTTGTCTCAGTAGGTGGCCTTTTTAGAGGCTAATTCATCAGCACGCAGAGTTTTAGAATTGGCGGCCTTATCCTGCAGGTTCCCTTTTATGGTGTTGCACAGAGATAAGGTGGTGCTTCGCACTAGGCCTTCTTTCCGAAGGTTGTGTTTGTTTTTTCATATCCCAAGCCAGTTTACCATTTGGAACATGGGCTTTGCACTGTTTGGATGCTGTCCGAGCTTTCAGAGTGTATTTGGAGCTTAAAACCTATTCACTTTTTGTTCTTACGGATGGTCCTTGCAAGGGTCAAGCTGCTTCTTCATTGGCAATGTCTAGGTTGATTCGTCAGTATCTTGCAGGCTTATTCTTTCTGGGGTTTACAACCTCCGTCTTGCATCGCTGCTCATTCTACTGGGGCTGTGAGTGGTTCTTGGGCTCTCAAGTCTGTATACTGGCCACCTGGTCCTCTATTCATACTTTTACTTTGATAAGGTTAAAGTTTTGATGCACTGGGTTTACCCTCCACCCCTGTGTGTTTTCTTCTTTCCTGCCCTGTTTGTGGCTTACTGCTTGTTGATGTCCTAGTGGTCAAGATCTCCTGATCTTCACCGTGTCCTTCAATGAACAGCAGAGAAAATTGGATTTTTGTACTCACCATAAAATCCTTTTCTCATCGTTCATTGAATGACACAGCACCCGACCCTAGTGTTAGCTGTTGCCAGTTGTTTAGTTGGGCTTTTCACTGCTTGATACTGAGGCTGTTTTAGCAAATGGGGGGTTGACCACCAGCAGGGGCCGCCCATAGGCTGCTCTGTGTTTTATGCGCCTAGTGTCGTACTCCTGCAGGTGGCAGTATAACCCAGTGGTCAAGATCTCCTGATCTTCACTGTGCCCTTCAATGAATGCAGAGAAATGGATTTTACGGTGAGTGCAAAAATCCAATTTTTAGGGGCAAATGCAGAGCATTAGCCACCCACCTAAAACGGAACTTATTGCTTCATAAACGATTGCTCGAAAAGAAGTTTCTGAAACTAGAAGCATGTGTCTCTCTCTCTCTCTCTCTCTCTCTCTCTATCTCCTTCCTACCTAAAATCACCACCCAAAAAGAATTGGCTCTGGGTAAGGTGGAGAAACAACTCGCCTCATTTAAACAAAGATATTACGAACAGGGCAGTAAAGCCCACACCCTCCTGGCTCATTAGTGTAGAGACATGTCAACAAAGACTGTACATACCATTAAGATCCAAACATTGACCTGCACTATGACCTTAATGAGATTTTTAAGTTGCCACTATTATACCTGTCTTTACAACCTTAACTAACCCCCTATATACTCTTGTCTCAAATTACTTCTTATCTCTCCAGAAGTAACATTCCTAACATTACCCAGAGAGACGCTACCGTCTTGTACTCTTGAACTTTAAGAAACTATAAAAGCCCTCCTGTGTAGCACGTCCCCAGACCTTCCAACATATCCTTTTCGCACATATATGTAATCTCTTTAACAGCTTCCATTGTGTTCAACCCATCCCTTCATCTATAACACATTCATAAATGATGGCTATCCCAAAAAAATTAAAAGACATTTCCAATTGGGCCAACTTTAGGCCTATAGCCCTATTAAACCATAATATGATTAGTAAAATATTTGCAAATAGACTACTTTGGGTTCTTCTTGCACCAATTCAGGAAGATCAAGTGGGATTCGTACCATTTTGCCCAGCAGAAGAGAACACCAGCAGCACCTTGGATGCAAAGGGGGTATATTCCACAACCTGGATGATGAAAAGACATTTGATTTGCCCTAGCTAACCCTTTATTTTTTGCAACACTACAAATTATTGACATCATGGACTTCTCCTAAGGGCTACTGTGAAACTCATACATGATACTTCCCGTTCATTCCAAATTAAAATTGAAACAAAACAGGGATGCCCCGTCCGCTTTTTATGTGTGTTATGCATAGTGCAGTATTTAAGTTTTTAATATCGCATACATGGATAATTATTATTCACATATATATATATTTCATTTTCATTCTAGAATTTGAAGAGCTGTGAAATTCAAGAACAGTGGCTCACTGATCTTCAGTACTGCTTCAATGTGTACCTTTCAAAACAGATACAGGAATGAGACACAAGTGCATTGTCATTTTAAAGAAACATACGAAATACTACTGTATATTCCAAATGTGATATTTGTATACACACACAGAATATATATTCTGAAAATGCAAAGAAAATCCAGTTTGCTCAGAAAAATTGCCAACATAATGCTTTCAGTGTTTAAATAATCTGAGACTTTCACATCTTGTCACGTTACTTTTAAGAATTTTGTTTTTCTTTTGTATGCAATTGTCTTAAAATGAGTATTTACGTATTTTTGCATCAGAATTTTCAGATTTTGTTAAATAAGTAAAATGTTTTATGGCAAGTGTGCTATGGTTTTCTGTTAAATTGCAGTGATAGCTTTACAGAATGTTTTGTATTAAACAAACGGTGAGTATTAATACACACGCACACACTTTGTTTTGGTACTTACACATGATCCTCACTCTACCCCATATTATAATCCTAATTCTCTTTGGTACTCAATACATCATTCCACCTCATGATGTAAAATGTGAAAACATCTCTTCTTAATTAATTCCTTTTAAAAATGAGCAACCATTTGACCTCAAACTGTAATGTATCCAGACAAATGACGGGTCAGACCATTAAAACTTGATATTTCTGCTTTGGGCAAAATCTCAGCCAGTTTAATCCTGCATGAGCTTCTTTTGATTTCCAAGTACTCATGAAATAATTCCCTTCGTCCTGGTTCAGTTTCCATCTACAGCCATTGCAAAGGAATTTCTCTCTTTTTGGCATTTTTCAGTTATCTTATGTTTTATAGAATGCTGGCATAGAGTTTGCCAGTTTGGATCTTCGCCACGTGGGAAAATCTAACCGCAGAAGTCCCTGAGAGATGTAAGAAGCTAGTGAGTATATATCTACAGTCCATTAATATCACTTTTTGATAGACTGACCCCTTAATTTTGTTTACTGCATCCTGATGATGCTTAAAGTGTATTCTAAGCAAGATTGAGGTTTGAGAAGCCAATGACACGTAACAACATACACCTCCAGGTGTCTAGGTCAGTCAGGTTCTCATATTGTGTCCCAAGACATCTGAAACTTGGGCTACTACCATATGCAAATTTTAATCAACTCCAGCGGTGAAAAGCTAGACTACTAGTTACTGCAAATTGCTATTGCTCCATAAGGGTGATGGGAATTTCCACTGGCCAGCCTTTTCGCCATGGGGGCTGTCAGTATGCAGACGCCCCTGATTTTTATGGGTTCAAGGATGCTTCATAGGATAGCTGAACTGACATGCAGGCCCGGTAGAACATGCCAATGACTCCTAAGACACTTTGCTCTTCTGGTTTATCTTAAACTTTTTCATTTGTAAAATTAAACCTCCCTTCTTAGTATAGTGTATTATATTGTCTTTTCAACACTTTTTACCAGAAATATTTTTTCTGTAGCGGGTTTTTTTTTTAGGTATTCTTTTGCAAAATGTTTAGTGGCTTTTGCCTTAGATGTACAGAAAACTTGTGTCAAGTACTTAAATAAAAAAAAAAAAAAGTGTCCTTTTATTCTTTGAGTTTGCGTTTTGACTTTACTAATTGAATTTTTGTAGCAGGTCAGTGACTAAAAGAATTGAAGTTATTGAAAATACATTCTTAAACCTTTTCATTGCCATCAGTGTAAGGCTTATGTCAGCTGCGCCAGGAACCTGTAAGCAGACTCCAGGTTGCTATAACAGCTGGGGATTTGTTTACAGTCCATCTGCAGGCTATTGCCTTTCTGTTAGAAGTGATTCAGGCGGCTGTAAAACTATTCTGCTTTACAAAACTCTTATTTATTTAATGGCAGGTTTGTTTTTAATTTCAATCTACAAGATACAGCACATTAAGAAGCTGCAAAGATAGACGGAATAGAGGGATATACTTTCCTTCCTTTCTTATATTATTAAGGACATGTACAGTAACAGTAGAGTACCCTTAAAATTAGTACTAAAGGCATCCGGTCTTCTACTTTAATACTTTAAAACAATCTCTATCAAATATTTTGTTCCTCTGTGTGTAAATACTTTATAGTTAAAGGAGAATTATGGGATGAGTGAAATACACTCATCCCCATAATTTGAGCCATCTTGTGACACTGAAGCTCTATTGATCTTCTCCCTGCAGAGAGCAGTGACTGTCGGTCACCACTCCCCGCACGGATTCCCCCCTCACCACCTTGTTCCTCCAGCTCTGCCTGGAGGAACAGAAGGGGGAGGGGACGAGCACAGCTAGCTCTGCCTCTAGAGAGGCAGAGCCAGCTGTCAATCAGGCAGTGGGGTGGATCTCGGTAATATTGTCGGCATCTGTCCCGGCTGCTCTGTGATTTGAGCATATAACGTACAATAGGCCGCTATATGCTGAGCTTTGGGTCACAGCAGGACATTAGTATGTGTTTTCCTGTGACCCTAAAGTTCTTTTTTTTTTTATTTGTTTTTTCGCCACCACAAGCTGCAGGTTCCAAAGTGGAGCTTTTCTGAGCTTTTGCGTAGCTGCCCCAATTATGTTACAACAAGCCTGTACTACTGGCAGCACAGACTTGTGCTGTCAACCACTCGCTTGGAAGAGCAGGGGAAGGAAAGGAGTAGCATTACATCCTATAGACACACAGGAGAAGGCGGAGGCATACGTTTTGCCAGTGGGAGCACACACAAAGGTGTCTCCAATGGAACCCTGTAAGGAGAGAGCATTTTAAAAAGGGGAAAGAAAATCAACTACGGTGCTGGAAAAGAAGGAACACTACAATGATTATAAGTGCTGAGGTCTGCAGTACTATAAGCATTTTACATGTGAGGGTTTTAAATCGCTAACCACAAGCTGCATAGGAAAGTCTTGGCTTAGGGGAATCTCTAGCTCAATTTTTTTTCCCCAGCAGGAAAGATCACCTCTTGGCTCAAGAGTAGGATGACTCTGGCTAGTTTATCTGGTTCAGAGGTACGAAATTCAGCTTGAACCAGTCGCCTCACAGCTTGAACAGTGCCTTCCTTCTTCATTGGCCGAATGTGGTGAATATTGATATTCCTCCAGTGAGTGCCTTTTCCAACTACCCTGTCTCGGGAATGGAGAGCAAATCTCTGAACCACTGTACCCTGCACTGCAATTTTGCAGAGGGGGAAGAAAGCTTGCAGAAAGAAATGATGGCTAGTAAGCTGATAATGTGGTAGTGGAATAATGCATTTAGTAGGTTCAAAGATTCAATGTACTGACTAAGAGTCAGTGATTTATTGCAATTTCAACATTGTATATTCAGCATTAAACAAAATAACGCATATGAGGCTTCAGGGGTGCTCGTTCTTCAGACATACCCAATATATATCAAATTTAGTTTACTAAAGCACTTTATATAACAAGCAATTGTCCTTTTTACCCTCACAAAATACTGTTCATGTTGTTCCTTTATTTAATCTTCGTGTTACAGTTCTCCTCCAGCCTCTTTTGGCAACTTACTGCCTACGAGAACTCTTTCCAACGTTGTCTGCACATCTTTGCTGTGGATGGACTGTCTTATAGTGATAACGGGCATGCAGAGTGACAATGCAGATGTCGCCACATTGCTTTTTTTTTCCCCAGTCCCGAAGTAAAATTAGGATATTTGAATATCAATTTGCTAAGCTATAATGATTTCTACTTGACAAAACTTATCTTCAGGTATGACAACCATTGAGATCATGCATTATGTTGAGCTTAAATGATAAAAAGGTAATGATGAGTGTATACAATGAGGGGAATTTATCAATACTGGAGCAAAAGAATCTGGAGCAGTTGTCCCATGGCAACCAATCTGCTTCGCTCTTCAGTTTGTTCAGTTAAGGCTTGAAAATGAAAGGTGGATGCTGATTGGTTGCCATGCGCAGCTGCTCCAGATTTTGATAAATTCCCCTCAATGTGTCTTAATAAATGAGTGTTTGCTGGAATAAGCCAACTATATAATAAATGTACCTACATTTCTGAGCAATAATAGAACTTGCACAATACAAAAGGTTACATTATTTGCTGTGTACCTGAGCTTTAGTTAAAATGGTATTTTCCCCTCAGCGTGAACAAACCTGACACTTGACAGCTTTACATATTTGGTATACTTGACAACAGATGCTCCCTATTCTCAATCCAATTAGACCTCTAATTCTCCAGATGAAAGGAGCATCCACTTGTGTTCCTCATGACAATGACAGCTATTGATTATTTGTCACTACAGCTAACACCTTCTCTAGTGAGGCCACACTGACAGAAGGTAAACTCCAAAATTAGACAGCGCTTTCTCAGCCCTTGAGGCCAAACAGCATACCATGTAAAGGCTAATAAACACTAGAAAAGTGAACAAATCATAACATTATGACAGGTTGATTTTTTTTTTTTTATTGTGAGCCTCTCTAAATTGTTTTGATGCTCTATTAGACCTGATTCTTTTCTATCTTTTCACTTGTTGTCTACCTTTGACTGAATTAAAGGCCAGAACAATTAACGTGTTAGATAAGACAACATGTATTACTGAGGGACACAAATGTCAATAGCTGACTGCAATTTGTCAATAAACTGTAAGCATGAACACCCTTATCTCTCAAAAGAAAGTGTATAATGTGGTAGAAGAAAAAAAACAAATCCAACACACAGGTGAACAAAAAAAAATGTTTAACGACATCAGTCTTGGCAAAGCTATATTTTAGAATGGATCTGCAATCACTTTGCAAAAAACTCCTTAGGCCCATTCATATTGATGCGTTATGGTAATGCATGGTAAACTGTTTTTCCTCTATTGTTCCTTAAGGGACTCGGGATCCGTAGTTATTGATACAATTTGTTCATACTGCGACCTTTAGGTGGACACTTGCAAAAACTAGCTGTTAGCCAAAAAGGTATAACCCCTCACATTCCCATCATGCTTCCGTTTTTTTGCTAGTTTCCTATGATGATGGATGTCTTTTCTCTTCGGAGAATCTATTCCAGAGATTTTTTTACTTTAACCATTATTTTCTCTTTTGTTCATTGAAGGACACAGCGAAGATAGATCTTAACCACAAGCTTATACTGCCATATAAGGGGATACGAACTAGATGTATCACAATAAAGGAGCTAGATTCCATCGTGTTACATGACCTTTCACCATTAATACCATACAGGTCATATAAAGTGATGGGAACTAGATGACCCACAATGAAGGAGCTAGTTCCCATCCTGCTAAATGACCTTTCACAAATTATACCATACAGGTCATATAAGGGGGATGGGAACTAGACAGTTCACAATAAAGGATCTAAATCCCATCCTGCTAAATGACCTTTCAGCCTTACGGTAATACAGGTCTATTAAAGGCATTTGAAATAGTAGACAATGAAGGGGCTAGATCCAATCCTGCTGAATTACCTTACACCATTAATACCATACAGGTCATATAAAAGGATGGGAACTAGATGAGCCACAG